TTATCCAGTAGAAAGTGAACCTAAGCATATGGTCTGCCAAAAAAAGCCTCTAAAATGGCTATGGGAGGCTGACAACCCCAGAGCACAGAGCTGCTGCTCCAATGAGATGCAACCTTGAAGACCACAGCTACGTTTATGTTTTTCTCCAGGAAATGCTTTGTTGGTACATCCAGTGACGGAGCAAGAGGCCAAGGCAGTGAGTGTTCTGCTTCCAGGGCCAGAGGAGGTGAGGATGAATATAAAGCTGCTCAGTTGATCAGCCCAAGGAAGTATTTTAAACAGCAACCTTCCAGTTCCCCGTCTCATAACCACTGAGCACTGCTGCTGTGCGAAGTGCTGGCTGGCCATTCTGTACCACTCTGAACCTTCCTTCCATCTCGATACCTTGCATGCATGGCTCACAGTAAATCTACTTTCTTGCTTTTCTAAGAGCTGCTGCACAAATCTCAGGTCTCCTATAATTTAAATCCCCCCTCAAGGGTTGTTATTTCTCATGGAACACCGAAAATCAATTTCACTAAATTGTCAATTCCCTTTTTTCATGTATTTCTCTTTGGGTTAAACTTCTCTTTTATGTGGAAGAAAAGGGATCTTTGAAGTGAGGTCATAAGGAAATCAGAGGGAAGCTGTGAGGAGGGAAAATTATAACAATGAAATAAAAGCTTCAGTAACATGGGATGTGTGTAACAACTTGGACATGTATAGAAATCAGTTCCTCTCTGAAATTATTTGTCCACAGGACAGCACTGTGATCCACTCCTACACAGAGCATTTGGCTGCAGCAGCTAAGAAGTTGGGGAAGGGATTTGAGGAAAATAGTTCCTAAGGGCAAGCCTGAGCCTCTAGTGAGGAATGAGAGGAAAGACAGCAGCAAAGGGAAGTGTGTGAGTCCATGCAGAGCCCCGTGACTCTCTTAATGCACCCAAGGACACTTAGAATTCTTCTCAGTATAAGGAGAAAAAACAGACTAGGCTCTCCTAACAAGATAAGAAAAATATTTTTCTTATCAAGATCTCTGTGGGAATTTACTGCCTGGCACACTTAAAGCAGTTAAAACTGGAAGTTTCAGATGTAGCTCTTCTTTGTGACCCTGTTGTTAGCAACTTTGTTGTTAATTTTAACTTTAATATAAATATGCTTATTCTGGAACGCAGCATTTCTAGCTAAAAAAAAAAAAAAAAAGGTATTTAATTGTTTTGCACTTCCAGATGCTTTAAGACATACAAGATGTTATGCAAACTGGAGAAAAGATCAGCTTATTTTTGTGCTTCAGGAATGAGAATTTATCTTTCCATCCAGAAGGTCATTTGATTTAAAAAGTAAATGCTATTTCTTGCACATCAAATAGATTGTTAGGAATAGCAACAGTAAGGTTAAGCAGAAGAGTAACTGCATCTGCAGAAGGAACAGACCTTGCTTTAATATGTCATGCTCATTCTTTTTTCATTTTTCCTAGATTTGGTACGATTTCAGAAAATTTAAACGAATAGAAGATCTAGGCACTCTGAAGATCCCAGTAACACTGGAGAATGTATGCTTTTGTTTTAAACTACTACTTCCACTGAGCAGAAAAAAAACCCCCAACAAACAGGCTTTTGTTTTGTCAACATTCAAAGTCAGAAATGTGACATTTCAATTTCCTTCTAGGAATGTAATCTGAGATAGCTTTTGTAAAGAAGAAAGGTCCCATCTCCTTTGTTGTTAGATGGAACGCTAATGTGTCCCGGTGGTAGAGAAAAGTGAGATGATGTAAGGGTGACTTCTCCAAGCAAAGACATTTCGCTTGTACACATACAGAAAGATTACTACAATCCCCATTGTCACTTGAATAGTTTTATATACTTGTGTCATGGATAGAGTGAGAATGCACTTCACTTCTAAGAGAGGAGCAAGAATATACTTTATTGATGTAAAACAGTGAGTTAACAAAGTTCAGTAGTAAATGCGACAGTGGTTTATAAGATTCGATGGCAAGGTACACTTGATTATTTACTGCATAGAGGACAGGGTCAGACAAAACTGTCAGGGAGACCCTTCCGTTGAGTCATAAGGTTCAGAAAAGATCCCCTTGCTTTCTAAACTCCTCAGAGAGGTGTGGCTGGATCCAATCCTAGTCCCAGACTTGGTCAACAATTTATGTCTAAATGAGTATATATGCACAATCAATCCTTTATATCACTTAGCTAAGATTTCAATGTTTAGCATGCTATTAGTCACTTACTGAGGATCTTCTGCGGCAAGGAATTTCTCACCTCAAGGAATAACCTTGAGAGGCGTCCCTACATAAGGGGACATCCTGGCAGGCAGCCTGCTGCTGTGCAGGATTGCTCAACAGGCCCTGGGCTGTTCATTATTTATGGAATAAGATGATTGACTTATAGTCATATTTGCATACCAGCAAGATATCTGAATCACTGCTCCAGACAGCCCTTGGCCACTCTGTTGCCATCCATCCCCAAAGCCCAGCATAAGCTGGATGCAGCCATCGCGACCCCCACTGGTGGTTATTGCTCACGAGGTGGGGATGGAGCACACAACTTGTGGTAGAAGTTCATTTCTGAGCTTTGATAAGAACAAGCTTCAGTTTTCCCTGTTCCAGGTTAAAATTATATGGTCAGAGTACATGAACCTTTCTACCCTGGCTTTGTTTTTTGCAGATTCCTGTATTCCAGCGGGGGGGCACTGTGATACCTCTGAAGACCACAGCTGGAAAATCCACTGAATGGATGATAGATATTTCTTACGAACTCCGCGTGGCCCTGGACACAGAGGTACTCTAAGATGACGTTCCCTTTACAAAGTTGTCTTTTAGTCCATCTGACCTTTTTAGGTCCTTGCTACCTGTTCGATCAGCACAATGGTATCTGCACCTGTGTGCCAAATGGCTCTCCTCCACTTCTCTTTGGGGGAGCTCCCACCTCCCTCCCACTGTTCCCGCAAAGTGAGACTATTGGAGTATAGCAGAGACAGAACATTTTTCTTACTTTTCTCAGCCCTCCTCTAGTACCTTGGAGGAAGGAGCAGAGAATGGGCAGGCCACAAATTTCCTCTTGGACACAGAGAGAGAACTTCCCACAACTGTCTTTTCTAATAAATGAGGTGACACCTGGCACCCACATCAGTTTACAAAACTAGAATGTCCAAGTCTTCAAGCAATCTCAGAGCTAGAATCCCTGAGCCTTCTGGGGATACAAGTTGCTAAAGAAAAATAAACACACCCCCCTCACTATGAAGCATAACATACAGAGAAACATTTTTGTTTTCATTGTTGTTGTGGTTTAACCCCAGTCAGCAGCTAAGTAGCACACAGCCACTCATTCACCCTCCCCCCCCACCACCATCCTGTGGGATGGGGGAGAGAATTGGGGAAAAAAAAGTAAAACCCATGGGTTGAGATAAAGACAGTTTAATAGGACAGCAAAGGAAGAGAAAATAATAATTATGATAAAAGAATATCCAGAAGAAGTGATGCAAATGCAATTGCTCATCACCCACTGACCAATGCCCATCCCAGAGCAGCAACTGCCGCCCCCTGGCCAACTGCCCCCAGTTTATATACTGAGCATGATGTCATATAGCATGGAATATCCCTTTGGCCAGTTTGGGCCAGCTATCCTGACCAGCATGCTCCCTCCCAGCTTCTTGTGCACCTTGTGTCCATGGCTAGTCTAAGCACTACTTAGCAACAGCTAAAGCATCAGTGTGTTATCAACGTTCTTCTCATACTAAATCCAAAACACAGCACTATGCCAGCTACTAGGAAGAAAATTAATTCTATTCCAGCCAAAGCCAGGACAATTGTCCAGCACTAGAAACTGCTGTTAATTTGTACTCCATCTGGTGTGTTTCACAGGCCTGTGCGATAGGTGAGCTCTATCTAGACGATGGGCATTCATTTCAATATCTCCACAAGAAGCAGTTCCTGTATCAGAAATTCACTTTCCACAAGAACATTCTCTCTTCCAGGTAATAGCAATTATGGACAAAAGCCACCAACACGCTGTCATTGGACAGGGCTTTTATAGTTCATGAAGCCTTCTTACAAACATAGAGGTATTAGTCTTATCCATTGCTTTGCCCAGTCCCAGAGCACACAGAATCTGCCATAAAACTGCAGAGGTAAACAATGGTCTGCATAAGTCTAAGGGCAGCCACACATGAAATACTGAGTTGTCTCATATTGTTTCAGTCTAGTCAAATCTACAGATTCTACAGATTTATTCAAATACAAAGGAAGTCATCAGCAAGAGTAAAGTTATCAGAGACACAAAAGAAGATAAACTGGGAGATTTGCAAATGGGCAACACCTGAAGTGTTTGTGTTTTCTAAGATCTTCACTGAGAGAGTGGTCAGTCACTGGAAAAAGCTCCCCAGGGAAGTGGTCATGGCACCAACCCTGTCAGAATTCAAGGAGTATCTGGACGATGCTCCTAGTCATATGATTTATCTTTAGGTAGTCCTGCAAGGAGCAAGGAATTGGACTCGGTGATCCTCACAGATCCCTTCTAACTTGAGATATTCTATGATTCTATATGGGAACCACAGACACCATTACATGTATTCTCCAAAAGTCATCAATAAATGCACCATATATATTAGCATGGTAAAATATACCAGAAAAGCACTTGAAAGGAAGCATGAGAGGTCACAAACTGCAAAGGTTGAGTGAAGAAACCTAAAAGCCCAAAATATCCGCAGCTGCTTGTAAGGAAAAAGTTGCTAAATATGTCGCTATGACACTTTCACTACTGAGGTATGTTGCCCATGGGGCTGTGCAGTGCATAAATGGTGAATTTTACAGGCATTTCTTTATTCCTTCAGGGTTCAAAAATATGCGGGAGGTGGTCCTAAATCTACAAATTTTAACACAGACTGAAACTGTAGACTAGCTTGGATAATGTAGTTAAAAGTATGCTTCAAATCTCTTTATCTGGGATACAAAATCTGAAAAGCTTAAAACTTCAGGATGGAAAATAAAAATGTTGCTAAATGGCTAGCAAATCTAGACATTGGAAAAAAGTCCTTTTGAGATGAATGATATAACATTCTGTTCACTCCAGAAAGGAAAGTTTCATTTTGATTTGAGTTTTTTAATAAAAATTAAATTAGTTATAAAAGGAATGATAATTGTGCCGCAGATTGAAATATCTTACTTGAAAAATGTTAAAATTAGCTTTACATTTATACTCAGGAGTTTAACTACCATTTTGCAAAAATCCAGAACTGTTATGTTTGTCAAAGCCATGCTTTTTACCACAAAATATCTTCTCAAAATTTTCTTCTTCTAACTTTGTGAAATCTGCTATGCAGTGGAAAATTAGCTGACAATGGGAGACAGTTTTACTTAATTTAGGAGAAAGGTAAATAGAGGAAAAGAAACCAGTGTAGAGAACTTTCAAGGTGAGACTGAAATCGTACTTTCTCTGTATGATGCTGAACTTCTGATGGACAGAAATCAATGTATATGAAGTAATTTTCTTTTTTCAGCTGCACAGATCAAAGTGGACAATACCACACTACATGTGTGGTTGAACGGGTGATAGTTCTGGGATTTGGACAGCAACCCACTTTTGTGACAGCCTGTTCCAAGGGTAATGAACTGACTTCTATTTCACTACAATTTTTTTTAAATACTGTTGCTCTGCTGCCCTTCACTAGAAGTAGCAAACTAACAGCTCTATAAAGGAAGCGTTACAGCATAGGGAGCATCTGTATTTAGTTTTATTTGCTACTTTTTTGCTATCAGGGACAGAATTTAGTGAAATGGAGCCAGCAGCTAGTCACCACTAACATTACATGCAGAACTGAAGAACACTTGCTTTGTAAGGTAATAGGTACATCAGTAAAAGTGGTTCAGAATTACCAAATTCAGGTAACTTTGTTCTGCACAGAATATGACCAGATATTGCATCTTACATTAAGGACTGTTTGCTCAGATCTGTAAGCCTGCCTAGTCTAGAACAGGAAACTTGCAGACAAAACCAGGATTACTTTTCTGTTCTCTTGCTCATTCAAAAGTGTCTGGAGTTCGTAACTATGTGGGGATCTCTGGAAGCTGTGAGCGGTCCCATATGGATAGGCAGTAGCC